CAGACCCTCGAGTGCAAGGAGTCCGGCAGACAGTTCTGTGTTGCTGTCACCCACTTAAAAGCACGCACTGGCTGGGAGCGGTTCCGGTCAGCTCAGGGCTGTGACCTTCTCCAGAACCTGCAGGGCATCACACAGGGAGCCAAGATTCCCCTGATTGTCTGTGGGGACTTCAATGCAGAGCCCACTGAGGAGGTCTACAAACACTTCGCTTCCTCCAGCCTCAATCTAAGCAGCGCCTACAAGCTGCTGAGTCCTGACGGACAGTCGGAGCCTCCATACACAACCTGGAAGATCCGGACCTCAGGGGAGTGTCGCCACACCCTGGACTACATCTGGTACTCCAGACACGCTCTGAGCGTCACCTCTGCTCTGGAACTACTCACGGAAGAACAGATTGGGCCCAGCCGGCTCCCGTCCTTTCACTACCCCTCAGACCACCTGTCACTGGTATGTGACTTCAGCTTTAATGAGGAACCTGAGGAACTCTTATAAACACTGTATCATTCTAATCATAAGAGTCTTAACCAGGGATGTTTTGGGAAACTGAAATATGATGAGTTGCCTGAAAAAGGACACCCAGTTTCAGCCACTTCATTTTCCATCGTTTCCAGCATGCCCTTGGAAAAGAATTTGTTCACAAACCTTTCCGATTAAAACCTGCAGTGAAAAGGTGTTTGCACTCCAGTTTGGGCTTGTGTATTAATTTTCTATAACATTCTCTACTACTTAAGGGCATTAAAATTAGACTTCTTGTAAGTTTTTTGGTTTTTGTTTTTTTAACTTGAGGGTGCTATAAACCTCAATTTGTAAGCCCCTCAGTAAGTACAATGTAAAATGTAGGAAGTTTTCTAGAGAGTATTTCATTATTTATTTGTGGGAATTTAAAATGTCAGCAAGAAATGCATGGCAATATTTATTTTTTATATCTTCATGTAAAATTAAGTGGATTATATAGCATTGTAGATGCAGAAATAGACATAATTTCCTTAAAACTTCCATTTGTTTTTATTTGGTGATCTAACACTAAGGAACTATATTTAGCCCTGAAGGATTTGTGACAATCTTCAGATAATCCTTGCTGTTTGCTATGCCTCCAATTTACCATTGTGTTTCTTGAAGAAATGCCAGTTCATTTTCAATTAGTTTTTACCATCTAGTCATAGTTAAATAAAGTATTTGTACTTTCTGTTGTATGGCATTGGCACACATGCGAAGACTACTCCATGACTTCTTTTGACAAGTAGCTTTAGGAACAGTCCTGGAACAGTGACTAAGAATAATAGTGAGAATTCCTTCTGAGACGAGAACTCCAGAAAGCCCGTTTGTGTGATCAAAATCTCTGTATTAGAGACCAGCTTGGGCTCCAATATCAAGACCCTTTTTCTTTTTTTTTCTTTTTTTCTTTTTTTTTTTCTTTTTTTTTGGTTTTTCGAGACAGGGTTTCTCTGTGGTTTTGGACCCTGTCCTGGAACTAGCTCTTGGAGACCAGGCTGGCCTCGAACTCACAAAGATCCACCTGCCTCTGCCTCCCAAGTGCTGGGATTAAAGGTGTGCGCCACCACTGCCTGGCGAAGACCCTTTTTCAAAATATCCCAAGACAGCCAAAATGATGGGGCTCGAAATTTCTCTAAGAATTTAAGAGCAGAAACGTTAACCTGTAGTTCTCTTCCGATTGTTGAAGCCTCTTCTAAAAGTAACTGGTGATAAAATGTTAAATGTTTTAATGTATGAGTTCTAAATATTATTTAAGATTAATAAATGAATTTATAACAGTGCTTTTAATCTTGGTTTTGTGTGTGTGTGTTTTGGTTTGGTTTTTGTCCAAACGGAACCTGGGAGTCTGTATCATAATAGTATGTGGTTCAAACATTATCCACTTCCACACTAAATTTTCATTTTGACACTTAACAGAAGTAGCTACACATTCAAGCTTTTGTAATCTTAGTGCAAGGATAGAGTCCTCCAAAATGGCTTACCGCTGCCTTCAACCTCCAGGTTCACAAATAGTGATACAGCGGTCGGGTTAGTCTCCCCAATGTGCTAGAGTGCTTCAGATATTTGGGGACACACTGATACTCACCAAGGCCTGACTCTGCTGTCTCTGAAGTTGCTATGGAATGTGATGTTGGTTATTGGGAACACAGTCAAAGTCACAACCACAGAAGACTTGGAGTAACTGAATAATAAATAGTTCAAGGCAGTTTAGAAGCTGGGAGTAGCTCTGGAGCACGTTCTAGGCTCCAGCCTGATCCCCAGCACCAGGAAAGAACCAACCAGGACAAGGTAGCGCCCTGGGAAAAGTAGGGGTAGGATCAGGAGCTCCTGATTTTTCTCAACTACAAAGCAAGTTCAAGGCCAGCCTAGGATATCTGAAACCCTGTTTTCAAAGCCAAACTAAGTAGTTGTGTGGCGAGCTGCATGGAGCCACATCTGATGATCAGCTCCTAACTATGGCTAAGACCTGACTTATGCTATTTATCACACAGTGATCATCAGCTGCTTGCATATGCGTGGGCCTATGGGCAGTGCCCACCTGGCAATCCGGGGTTGATAGCCCATGCCTTTTTAAGGGCTGGGAGAGGTTTGCCCGGGGAGAGAGAGAAAGTGAATAAAGTCCTGGAATAAACTGCAGTGGGGAGAGCTCCGGTGTGTCACGCCTCATCCTTGCTTGTTCAGCAGAGATCTGCATTGTGTGAGGCTCAGACCCTAGTGACATCTTGTGTCCTACCCTTTCTGTCTGGCCTTATTTGCTTTCTACTCTTTCCCTTAGCTCCGCCTTTTTTGAGACACTTGCTTTGAAGCCCAGGCTGGTTTGGCACTACCTGTGTAGCCCAAGGCGACCTCAAGTTTGCAGCAGTGCTCCTGTCTCGCTGTCCCAGTGAAGTCATTTCATCTCTCCTGAACACTTCTGTTCCTTCTACCTTCTCAAGGAGCCTCAGTATTTTCAACCCTCAGCCTCAGGCAGAATAGAACTTTAAAAACTAGGTGCAAGAGGAGAGGCCATGGTAGAACGGCTTAGGAAAGGTGTACCCGGGACACTAGCAAAGAACTTGGGTGAGTGGGCAATTCAAGCAAGATGCCATTGAATTTACAGTAACCACAGTGGTGTAATGAAACCCAATCCACACTTTTGGCTTTTGGTCCATTTTAGCCCAGGTTGACCTCTACTCTAGCTTCCCCAAGTCTCAGCATTCCAGAGACTGAGAGGATGATGTGACAGCCTGAACCTTATGGGAGGTAAGGCATCCATACAGAAGATAGGACCATTAGGACCTGGAGAATGTAGGATGTGAATGGAATGTAGGAGACAGCCTACAGACCCTTGTAGACGCTAGGGCCTATTAGTAGTACTACAGGGAACAGTTGAATCCAGCACTCAGTAAGAACTGGTGTGGCAATGAGTGTGATCTAAGAGTCAAGTTCTAGTCTAGACCAAAAAAACATGTCAGCTATCTGAAGAACGGCTGTTACAATGAATCTTAGTAAACATTCAATAGTGTCAGCTTGTCCATCAGACTTAGGATCTCCTTCCATTCCCACAACTCTGATAAGCCCTACAGAGACAACCTTAGAACAACAACAACAACAAAAAAAAAAAAAAAAACAAAGGCACAAGAGGAGATGGGGACAAGTGGGTTGAAGTAAAGGGCTGGACAGAAGGCTCCTGGGTTAAGAGCATTTGCTGCTATTGCAGAGGACCCAGGTTTGATTCCCAGAAGCTACATGGCAGCTCAGCTGTAACGCCAGCCAGGGGTTCCAACTCCTCTTCGGGTCTGCACAGGCACTGCATGCATTTGGTGGCATGCATACATGGGAGCAGACACATAAAAATACATCAAAAAGGATGTATCGGAGCTGTTGAGATGGCTCAATAAACAGGTAAAGGTGCTTATGACAAAACCTCATGTCTTGAGAACCCACATGATGGAAAGAGTAACTGATTTCTAAAGGTCCTGTGATCTTTCAAATTAATTATGGTTGATTTGGAAACTGGGCTATTGGTGAACCTGCAGGCTCCCCATTCAAAAATAAATGGTCTGATGGAGAAATACTGAATGACCAGCTGTTAACTACTGGACCAAGGGTGTGTGAAGGGAAAGCGATGCTTATGCACAACAGAGATACCTCCTTCCTGAATCTGACAACAATGTTTGCAGAAGTGAGATTCTCTTGTAGCCAAGGGTCCAGCCAAGGGGTCTCTGTAGATACTTTTGCTCATGTGCAGAGAACGGTGGTGACTGAAGTTTGGATCTAAGGATAAGCACAGGCTGCCCATTGCACTGCGAAGACTGGAAGATGCAACGGCACCAAGCCATGGTTTCTGTGGCTTTTCTCCAGAAGCACTGAACACAAGAGTATAACTCATATTGAATTAGCACTCAGAAAGACCGGGTTCAGAAGCTGGAGTTACATTTGCAAGTTTAGGTTTTAGATGCATATCTGAAACTTTCTGTTGCTTTTAGAATGAAGTTCAAACCAACTAATAAAACATGTAAGAAATTATCTATTACAACTGAGCTGTTAAGACTCTTAGCAAAGGTAATCAAAATCTGTGGATGCTATGTGCAGCTCAGGACTTGGGTCCAGTCATGTACAGCCTTTTGAAAAATGAGTTTTATAGAAGATTTGAACAAAAGTTAACTGCAGTCTTGATTTAGAAAGATGGAATATTTAGGAGATGTTCTAAGAGGTAGGTAGGTTTTGAGGTTAACTCTCAATGGGGGTAAAAAAAAGAACCCAACTTAGACTCGTATTTTTAAAAGTCCCATTAGGTAAGCTTGTGGGTTAGAAAAGGGATGTGGCCAGGAGAGATGGCTCAACAGTGGTGCTGTTCTTCCAGAGAGGTTAAAGGGCAGCTCAAAACCGTCTCTAACGCCAGTTGCACTGGATTCGACACCCTCTTCTGGTCTGCTGGGGCATCAGGACAGCGTTAAATGTATACAGTCATACATGCAGAGAAACACCCATACACATCAATTCTTTAAATCGGTTTAGTTATAAAAAAAAAAAAAGCTAGAAAGGGAACTTTTATAAAAAATCTTTGCTGATATAAGTAGCATCGTGTTAAATATACAAAGGCCAAAAAATATTGAAACAGTTAACAGTTCATCTAAATTTCTAAAAAGACAACTAATATGTAGAGAAGGACCTAATTAAGTGTTACATTAAGTAATTTGTGTGATTTCTGGGCTTCAGCCTTCATGCAAAGGCTGGACCATACTTTCTACCCATAAGGAGGACTGGTGGAAACATGGTATAACTGAAGGTGACTTGGTGTGCAAGGAAGGTGCCAGGACAAATCCAGGGGCCTGCACATGCCAGGCAAGCAGCCTACCACTAGCTCAAAGTGCTTCACGTATATAAATCCGTTAAGTGTGGCCAACTAAAACCCTACATTTGTTAAGTAGGCGATTTTAGTTATAAAGGACATGGAAATGTGTGAGTAGTTGCCAAACAGTCGTATAATGGGACAGCACCAGAGTAGCATTTCTTCATGAGGTAATTAAGAAAACACGAGACTTCTATTGCTTAACCAAAACGACACCCTATACTGGCTTTACAGTACTGTGAAAAATACCACCAGAGACCAAAACCACAAGATAAATTTCACTTCTATATTTCAGAAAACCTACTTGAATACACTTTGAAACAAGAGTACAACAAAATAGAATATACTTCAAATGTTGAATATACAAACTATTATAGTTCAAATCTGAACACTGGTACTTTCCCTCTTAAACATCAACTAAAAAAGAAAAAAGGAGGAAAAAAAGGAGGAAAGAAGGAACAAGAATGAGAAAGAAAACAAACAGCAGGTATTAGAGCTACCTGACGAGTTCATGCTGAGCCTGAATTTCCAAACCACATGAGAACTGATGCTGATGTGTCTGCGAGATGCCAGGGCCGACTTGAGTGACGCAGGTATGTTACAGTAAATTTCTTCACAATTAAGAAACCAACAGACTTAAACTACCATATAAAATGTTACATGTAAATTCTATAACAATACTGTGCTAGGTACAAGATTTTTAAAATTTTTTCCTTTAATAAAAAAGCTTTACACAAACAAGCCATTAGCTTATTTCAAGGAAGAAAACCAAAAATTAGTCTAAGGCCTTTGTTTTAAAACAGCTTAAGCTATATGATATATATATTCAAAAACAAAAAATAAAACAAGAAACGCACTACATCTTTTTGTTACCCTCTTCTGGAGCTTTTGGATCCACTCAGTTCACATTCTAGAATACCTCTATTAGCAGTCTTCACATAGCACCAGTTAAGTGAGTACTGTGCAAACACAGTAATAATTGCTGGTATGCATATAAAAATGCATCAAAAATTGCTATATGTAACAATGAGATCACCCATCCCAACCCGCCCCACTGAAAACTATGTAACCTCTTACAGGTGTTAGTGTTCCAACTCTTAGTGTAACTTGCTATTGTAGTGGGCTGCTTGGTCCCTTTCAGTCTGTTTGCTTATCGAGGGTTCAGCTGTTCCTACTTTAAGAGGCAGTTTTCTGTCAGCATCTCAATGTGTAGTTCACTTCCCACTGAAACATGGGATAGGTAACTATTCCAGTAAGTCTGATTGCTTTCTTCTATGCACAATTGTCTGAAGTCCTCCTCTGGCTTTTCTTGATGTCTTCCCTTGCCAATGTTTGTCAGTACAACACGAACAGTCTGCAGGCCACGGCAGAGCTCGCTTATTTCTCACACGTCACTAGTCCTTCGGTTTTCATAGTCACAGGAAGGGCAATAGCAGAGGGCGCACTGACAACCACTACATGGGTTACTGTCTTATTCCCATCTGCTCCCTTTTCTTCTACCAGCTGCAAAGTTTTCACATCATGTTCCTGCTTTTTTGTCACTGTTTCTGATTTAACCTCTGGCCCTTTTATGACCGCACTGATAACTCGAGGAGGAGTCTGTCCAGAAGCCTGCTGCGCAGGCACAGATAGTCTCATTACAGGAGTACCGTGGGCTAGTGAGACAGGGGTAAGTGCTCTCACGGCCAAGGGGGTTCCCACAATGTTGATGCTTCCTGATCCAGTCAGATTTGACTTTGTCTGCAGTTGACACTGTGCAAGCTGTGTAGCAGGGATGGTGATAATTTTGGCAGGCTGCATGGTGATTTTGTCTCCATTTTCAGTAGAGGCTGGCATCACAGTCGGGATTGTCTGAATGACTACTTTTGGAGAGGCGGCTGTGGTCGGACTGGTGCTGGTTATTAATGGTGCGCCTGCATTGACTGACTGAACTGCCACAGTTGAAATCTTTTGACCCAGTGATGTCATAACCACAGGAACTTGCATTGCCACACGAACTGTCCTGGTGGATATAAACAAAGAGGTTGGCTATATTCAATACTAAATTAGAAAATGGGTCTCATGTTAAAAAGTAAACACGAATCCAAATGCCTAAAACCAGTACTCCCAACGTTTACAGTTGTGGTAAAGTTTAGAAAGAAGACTCTCCAGCTCATATTGGGGATTGGACCTGGCATCTCATGTACGCTAATCAAGTGTCCTACTACTGAGCTACACACCCAGCTTTTTGAGGCAAGGTCTTGCTAACTCACTGCTAGCTTACAACTCACTCTGTAGCACAGTCAAGCCTTGAACTTGTGATTCTCCTGCCTCGGCCTCCACAGTACTTAGGACTACAAATGTGTTTCACTGTGTATAGCTTAAAGTATATTTTAAAATTATTTTATATGCACTGGAGTTTTGTCTACATTCATGTCTGTGTGAGGGTGTTGGATCCCCTGAAACTATAGTTACAGACAATTGTGAGCTGCCATGTGGGCACTGGGAGTTGAACCCAGGTCCCCTGGAAGAGCAGCCAGTGCTCTTAGCCGCTGAACCATCTCTCCGGCCCCAAGATGCATTTTTTTAAAGTGTCCATACAGTGTTGGCTATTACAGATTAAACCAGGACAGTTCAAATGTTCCAAGGTGCATTTAAAGAACAAAACACTATGTTACAGTTAGTGGCCCCCTCACCTTGGAGCTGCTGCCGCTGTCACAGATGCTGTGGTGGTAGGAGACCTGGACGAAGTGTCCTGAGCAGGGGAAGTGAGATTCACAACTCTACCCACACCCTTCTCTGCTCTGGAGCAGTTTATGGATGAGTTTTTCCCGCTGCGAACAGAAGTCGCTGCTTTCAGGAGACTTTCTGCAGACAGTGACACTCGCTCTAGGGACTTCTCGTCAGCGGCTGCTGCCAGGTCTTCACTGCAGGCTTCACTCTTGTCGTCATCAATGACCACTATGTTTTTGGGCATGTCCTTGAACTGATACACAAGCCTCTGTCCTTCAACCTTTGCGAGAATCCCCCTTTGGTAGTAGTATCTGTGAGAGGAAAAATGATTGAATAGTCAAACGTACTCTTGCCTTCACAATAAAACCACACAGAAAACGCTGCGAGTGCTCTTTCTGCTTGACTACTCATGCGACTACAGATTTGGTGAGGACCTGAAGTTGGCGTGTTGTGCCACAGGGCGTGCCTGTTAATACTGACTGTCAATCTGACAAGCTCTAGAAGCACTTGGGAACTAACTCTCTGGTTTCTTCCTAGATTCCATTAAGGTGGGAAGACCCAACGTAAGTGTGGGGCAGCACTGTTGCTGACACAGAGTCTCAGACCAAATAAAAAGGATAAAGCAAGCTAAGTAGCAGCTTTCATCTCTGCTGTCTGGCTGTGGGTGTGGCGCGAGTCCTAGCACTCTGAATTCTCCACCGTCCCCGAGAAGTAGCCAGTGCAGCTCTGTAACCCTGATGTGTACAAAGACGTGTGGCACCGAGGGCTGAACCTAGAGATGCGTTACTAAGAGGAAAGTGCTCTATCTCCCAGCTTTATCTCCAGCACCCCGCCACCTCCATTTATATAGACCAGGCTAGTTTCCAACTCTAGATGGATCTTCCTTCCTCTGAAGTGATGAGATCACAGTACATCTGCCATCTACACTGCGTTCTCTCTTTAGAATAGCTTAGCCTAAACACAGGACACTTTATGTTGATACTACAAGTAACTCTATGTTATAAAAACAATGACTTTATATGGAAAGTTTAGCAGAGATGCAGTCTGTGGAATATATGAATGCTGTCACAAAAAAACACAATATAAGAGTGGCTCGTGCCTGACATCCCAGATTTGGGAAACTAAGGCAAGAGAAGTGATGCAAGTCCAAGCCAGCTTGATCACATAAGTTCCAGGCCAGCCTGGGCTAGACTTGTCTCAAATAAATAAATACTAAAATGTGAACATTGAGGATTTAATGGATTTCTCATACTAACCAAACAACAAAAATTTTTCATTATCAAGACAATGTCATTTACAATATTTTCAGGAACTAAAAGCAAATTAACTTTGGAAAATATATTTAATCTAAGGTTTCTTATACAATCTCACTATAACTCAGGCTGGCTTCAAACTTATATGTAAAGGAAAATGACTTTCAACTTACTATCCTGTCTTCAATCCCCAAACAGTGCGACTGCAAGGCACATGCCACTGCATCCAGTCTGGGTTTAATGTCTTAAAAGGCCCACAATGTAACAATTTCTATTCCAGAACAGTCCTAAATGTAGAATCAATTTTCAATAAATAAGGATTTTCCAATATTGAAGTTTTACATGTAGATCAAACTTCTTTCCCCATCTATTTCCAAATCTAAGAAATTTGTCTAGATTGCTCACCAAAATTAGAAATTAAATTAAGGGATTTAAAAAATAAAGCTTTTCTTTAAACGACTTTAACAATAAACAGACAATCTAAAGAGACATGTAAGTCATATTTAAAAATTAGCCCATGTTCATTCTCACCTCAAAGCTCGCCCCATAGTTTCATAGTTCATATCTGGCTTGTTCTTGTGCTTTCCCCAAAGCTTCGAGACCGCCTTCGAGTCCACAAGTTTGAATATGCCCTTTTCTCTCTGAGTCCACTTAATATACCTGGGACAAGTATTTTTATCTTGAAGTAGATCTAAAAGAAACTCCCACAGATAGGTTGTGTTTCCTTTAAAAACAAAAACAATGATAGGCATTAATTTAAAATTCATTAATATGATTAAATGCAAATAAAATACCCTTATTTACAATAAAAACACTAAATATACTTATCTGCCATTTCTTTCTTTTTTTTTTTTTTTTGGTTTTTCAAGACAGGGTTTCTCTGTGGTTTTTGGATCCTGTCCTGGAACTAGCTCTGTAGACCAGGCTGGTCTCGAACTCACAGAGATCCGCCTGCCTCTGCCTCCCGAGTGCTGGGATTAAAGGCGTGCGCCACCATCGCCCGGCCTTGCCATTTCTTTTTGAGGTGAGATCTCATTATGTAGCCCTGTGAGACCTGCAAATTGCTACAGACCAAGCTGCTCTCAAATTGAAGGCCTCTGCCTCCCAAATGCTGGGATCAAAGGCCTGCAGCACCATGCCCAGACTAAATGTCTATTCTTAAAAATCTATGCTTTTCCTCAAGGAAGCTGATAGAGGCCCTGGATCTCTACTGTCCGATGTCCTGTATCCAAGGCTTCAACTTCAGTAAAGGCAATAGCATAATGCTTAGTATAATGCAAGAGTACAGTGCTGAGTTAAACAGAACCAAATTTCTTAACTTATACAGATTTGAGCTCTGAGTATAATAACCTGTACATGTTTTATATTCTATACCAAGTCCCTTAGAAAAGCTTTGCTGTTGTTAGTGCTGAGGCAGGTCTCAGAGCCTAGGCTGACCCCACGGCCTCCACCTTCCCAGTGCTGGAATAGCAGGCTTGTGCCACAGGACCTTTTCGCAAGAAATCCTTTTCTTTGATTAACCAGTAGGCCAGAACTGTGGGGCACTTGTCTACAGGCTGCCCTAATCCATGAACTCTTATGACCTCTGAACTGCTAGTAAATGTAAACTGGACTACCATATACTTAGTCCTGGATCCCACCGCTAGCAACATCAAACATTTATGCAAAATAAAATGTCTACACTTGAAGCTGGAGAGATGGCTCAGTAGTTACAAGCTCATACTGTTTTCCAGAGGACCGAAGTTTGGATCTTATTACCCATACCAGGGCAGCTCAAAACTACCTATTAACTCCAGCTCTGAGACTGTAATGCCTCTGGCCTCCACGGTACCTGCACTGACTGACACGCACCTACCTACAGACATAGACATATACACATGAATAAAAAATATAAATGGCATCTATGTGTATCTATGACAGTCTGATGTCTGCCCCAAGGAATGGACAATTTAGGGAAGGGGCAGATGACAAGATAAGACAATGATGCAATATCAGCCCCAAACAATGTAAGACATGTCACAAGGCACTGTGTAACTGTATGTCTCAAAAGAATCATAGAAAACAGAGGCTCGGGCTGGAGAGATGGCTCAGAGGTTAAGAGCACTGACTGCTCTTCCAGAGGTCCTGAGTTCAATTCCCAGCAACCACATGGTGGCTCACAACCATCTGTACTGAGATCTGGTGCCCTCCTCTGGTGTGCGGGCATATATCGAGGCAGAATGTTGTATACATAATAAATAAATAAATCTTTAAAAAAAATAAATTAAAAAAAAAGTGCTCAGTCAAAACTTAAAAAAAAATAAAGAAAACAGAGGCTCACATTTCAGGAATGGTTAAGTCTTGGAAGACAGTTAATATATGCATAAAGAAGAAGATTTGGCAAGTACAATAAATAACCCCAAAAGGAAGAAAAGGATTCTCCTCTTATTTATAATTTCCCTTGGAAAGGGAAAAGAACCAGCACCTTGAGACTTTGCAAGCTGTTTTCCTTTTTCTTCCTGCAGAGCCTCTAGGAACTAATGAAAGACTCCTGAGAGAAAAGGTGACAATACACTTGTTCCTACCCAGTCCAAGACTCCCCTACTAACAACCCCTCATTATATCCTTGAGTGCAGACCCAAGCTTCAGGAGAAGCCTCCAAACCAAACTCTCTGCAGCCCCATCTTCAACTCAAACACTGGCATTCCATCTTCATTCAGAGCTCCCTGCCCAGGCAACACACAGCTCACAGCTGAGCACAGTATGTACTCATCTCTAGGCCGCCTCAGCTCTGAGCAGCAGTGCAGCCCATCAGTGCCCATGCACATCATCAACCACACCTGCAGCTGGGTGCTCTCTTACAAGCAGGGGATTACTGGATTCTATGACTAGACCCAGGAAAAGTGGGCAGAGATTTAATTATTCTATTTATTGATTTAATGTAGTCCTGGCTGTCCTGGAACTTACTATATACACTCCCAGAGTGTATATAGTACACTCCCAGAGATGTGCCTGTCTCTGCCTCCCCACACACCATACAGATTGACTGTTTAGTGAGTTAGACTCATCAACGTCTATAGCTGAGTGTAGATAGTTCACTCCTCTATCCAAGTTCTCACTCCCAACCTAATCATCTTGTTCTAAGGAAAACAGAATTCAAACATGGACACTTTCACAGGACTCCCACCTGTAACAGACACTTTTATCTTGTGTTTTCAGAACAATGGCTAGACTTTGAATACAGCTTTATCTCTAACTTTAACCATATTGTAACATCTGCTTCAAGTTTAGACTAAACTGTAAGTGCTTTAGGAGCTGAGGATGTGGCTCAGAAAGAAGACTGCCTGTTTAGTGTGCACAAGACCTTCAAGTCCATTCCTAGCACCACCATGAAACAACAAAGCCAGAAATCACCATGTATTTGCAGTTTGACTTTTACTTACTATTACAGTATAACTTTAAAGTCTGCGATATAATTTCAGGAGAGAGTCTCATAGCAACCCAAACTGAGCTCAAGCTCTCTAGGTACCCAAGGGTGACCCTGAATCTTCGATCCTCTTGTTGGGATTACAGGTATGCACTACCTTGCCTAGTTCTACTCAGAGCTAAAGAACGTGTACACTAGTGGTTTACTAGGCAAGTATTCCATTGGCTGTGCTACATCCCTTGGCCGCAACATACACTGAAAGACAAAAACTAACACATTCGAAATGTAATCTCACCAAGGGCAGATAAGGAAATGAAAGTCTGAAACCTGTCCCAAACTGAGTCAAATGTGTCCCAAATTCCTAAGATCAATGAAACTCAAATTTGTTCTTTCTTGCTTCCTGTTGCGGCTGCCATCCAAGAGGAGCAGCCATGGCCCTGCGCTACCCCATGGCCGTGGGCCTCAACAAGGGCCACAAGGTGACGAAGAACATCATGGCTGGCCGCCATGAGGAAGGCTGCAGCCAAGAAGGACTGATCCCCTCCCCGTTCTCAATAAACGTTGCTGTGGCGCAAAAAAAAAAAAAATTGTTCTTTCTTTCTCTTAGATATAACCAAGTTTTCCTGTGGACTTATTAGGCACAGTTTTCACTAGACTTATTAATAAATCTATTAATAATAGGACAAATTTAAACATTAATAAAAAATTTAAGACAATTTAAAAACGTTTACTTATTAACCAGTGATAAATTTTGTTTATGGGATCATCAAACATGCCAAATAAGAAAGCAGAGGGGTTGGAGAGATGGTTGAATGGTTAAGAACTCTGACTGCTTTTGAAGAAGACCTGTGTTCCCAGCACCCATGATTGCTTGTAACTCCAATTCCAGGAGAGCTTTTAAAAAGAGTAATTCCAACACCTAGGAAGCAAAGCCAGGTGGATCTCTGAGTTCTGGGACAGCCAAGACTACAGAGAAATCCTGTCCTGAAATGAAGAAAACAAGTATGTATCAGAAGGCCAGAGTAGCTTAAATGACAGAGTGTGTTGCCAAAACTGATGACGGGAGTTCAGTTCCTAGGACCACACAGTACAGAGCTGCTTCACCTGACTTCACCCCTCCAAACAAATCAGCAAGTACAGCCTCTTCTATTAAAGTGGTTCGGCATGATAAGCATAAGGGATATTATATAAATATTCCCTAAACAATGGTTCCTACAAACAATGTGGTTAGTACTGTCCTATGGATATTACCACTATCCCATCGATAGATACAGCTATTTTGATAAAGGTTCCCCATAATGCTGACTCGCCCTGATTAAGACCTGAGAGATGGTACTCCCACATGCACATCTACTAGAAATTATCCTTCTTGCAACTGCAAAATGTCTCTCTCTCTCATACAGACACACACAAAATTATCTTATTTCCAAGATGACCATCCACAAATTACCTTTTCCTTCTCTGGCTTTCTTCTTGATTCCTAACTCAGGAGACCCATTGGAAACTGGTGACTGCTGGGTCTTTGGTTTACGGCCAACTGAAAAATTAAGACAATAAAATCATAAACTGAAAACAGAAATAATTCCCAGACTCTCTAAAAATACATTCCTCACTAAACTAGACACTAATGTGCAGCTTAGAGTCAGTTCTAAGGAGGCGTGGCACACAGCTATGAAAAGCGAAGAAGGAAGACTCTGAAGTCAGCCTGAGCTACGTGGTGAGTTAGAGGCAGCCTACGATCAGCAGCAGAGCGCGTGCCTAGCACATGAAGCCTTGGGTCCAGCACACCCCTCACCCAGGCCGTGTGTATGAAAGATGCTGTAGAAAAGGACCATTAAAGACTTCTGTAATCCTAAATAAAACGGTTGGTAGAAACTGGACTATACCAACTCAGTAAATTCTCTAACTTCTGTTATCAGATCAGAGACAGCCTCAATCTGCTACATTTTCAGACTGCTGTCCTGGAGTTCACTATGTAGACCAGGCTGGTCTTATACTCAGGGATACTATTGCCTCTGCCTCCGAGTCCTGGGACCAAAGGTGGGTGCCAACCACACCCAGCTGTTAGAAAGTTTGTTAGCAGAGCATTTTTATTCTTGAAGAACTTCATACATTCACAGCAAGTAATTTTGATCATATCCTCCCTCCTTCAGTCAGAAACAATTTCATCTATGTACCGCAGATGACCTGATCATATGAAGCCCTTTGAGCTCGAATGAACAAAATATTAAACACCGCTTGCATTGTAAGAGACAATTCCCTAGAATTCTAAGCTAAATTAGTGTTAAAATTTCCCCTTGTCAATGTGCAGATACACTGTAGATGTTTAAAAAAATAAAACACACTCTTCCAAGTGATTATGTCTAATAAATGTGTGTGCCATTCATGTTTGTCCTTATCTCTGCCATAAAACAGAGACAGATAAGCAAGGGCTCGACTTCAATACACTAAGGCCACGTGTGAAATGAGTTACACTGGCTCCTCAGTACAAGGAAGCTTAGGATGCTGGCAAGATGACTCACTTAGTACATGCAAGTCCCACAGCCTGAGCGCAATGCCCAGAATTCAGAAAACGGTGAAAAGAGAACCAATGCCAGCTTCCCTCTAACCTCCACATGTGCACCCTGGCACACACATTACAATAAAAATAACCAAGGACTGCATGTTTCAAATGTACATACATAGTAACAACAACACTCAGATAATGGCATCCTGACTTTGTTTCCCAGACAGCAATCAACACAGAATTATGTATATTTTTACTGTCTGACTAGTATAAACAGCACAAGATAATAGGTTTCATTATCACACTCTCACATATAAAGTACACTTTTATCATAATCATTGCTCCATACTACTCTTTCTGGCCTCCTTCCAGGCTAGGTACCTTTCCTTTCCCCCAAATTGTCCCCGTTCTACTTCCATGATCCATCCTGGCCTAAAACTGATATCCTCCTGCTTCAATCTACTGAGTACTGAAATTCCAGATGTATGTTACCTAACACTGTTTATCACAGTTTTTCTTCGATCTTAGTTCCCTAAGAGAAAACATGGTGTTTGTCTTCCTAAGTCTAGTTTATTTTGCTTGGTTCCACCCATTTTCCTTCAAACATCGATTCCCTTCTTTTTCTAAATATCCTGGTGTGCGCACACACATCTCATGTGCATATGTATGTATACACAGTTGGCCCCATAAGCTCATAGGGAGTGGCACTATTAGGTATGGCTTTATTAGAGGAAGGGTGTCACCATGGGGACAGGCTTTGAAACTGCCTATGCTCAAGATATGGCCCAGTGTCTGAGTCTACTTGCTGTTGCCTTCTGATCAAGATGAAGCCAGCACCATGTCCACCTAAATGCTGCCGTTCTCCCCACCATGATGATAACGGACTGGACCACTGAACGGTAAGCCACCACAATTAAATGTTTTCTTTTAAAAGAGTTGCTGTGGTCAGTGTCTCTTCACTGCTGTGAAGCAGAATACTTATTTAACTATGTAAAAATGTGTTGCATTTGTCTGTGTTGCAGAATAATTGTTTAACTATATAAAGATATGTAACTATATAAAGATGTGTTGCTGCTTTGCCTTGCCTGCCTAAGGCACTTGATTGGTCTAAGAAAAAGTTGAACAGCCAATAGCTAGACAGAGAAGGGATAGGCAGGTTTGTTGAGCAGAGAGAAAAAAGAGGCAGCCAGACACAAAGGAAGCAGGAAATCAGGGTGGACAGTAAGCAGATGAGGCAAACAAGTCTCAGGGCAGCACATGGATTAACAGATGGGTTAATTTAAGCTAAAAAACAAACAAACATACACAAAAACAACTAGAAACAAATCTGAGCTAAGGCCAAGCATTCATAATTAGTCATGATTTGGGACTGGCAGTCCAAGAAAGGCTGCTACACCTCACAGCAACAGAAACTCTAAGACACATTTTTTCTCTCTCTCTCTCTCACACACACAATCACATTTTATTTTTCCATTCATCTGTTGATAGGTACCTAGATTCTATAACTTGGCTACTATAAATCATAACAAAACTAAGATTCATTATATATTGTATGTTGACTTAAGATTCCTTCGTGTATATATGATTGGTATAGTTGGAGCATCCTGTAAGTTCTATTTTCAACTCTTTGAGGAACCCCATAATTGACATTACTACCAACAGTGCAAAAGTGTTTCATTCCCCTATCCACCAGTGGCCCATTCTTGGTAGGAGGTGCTGCATTTAATTGAGATGGTGGTGTTTCTGTTGTTTTTAATTACATGTATTAGTGTGTGTGTTCTCAACACAGTGTTACAAATGCATGTGGACATCAGAGATCAGTATGTAGGAATCAGTTCTCTGGCACTACCATGTGGACCCCAGGGACTGAACTCAGACTGTGAGGCTTGCTTGCAAGTCCCTTTACATGCTGAGCCATCACACCAGCCCTTGTCTTTGTTTTTGATTTTTTTTTTTTTTCCTTCTTCTTTTGGTTTTTCAAGACACGGTTTCTCTCCTAGAACTCATTATGTAGACCGGTTTGGCCTCAAGCCCAGAGATTCATCTCTCTCTACCTCTCATTAAAGGCATGTGGCACCACTGCCCTGCTTGGTTTTTGCTTATTTGTTTGGTTTGTTTGTTTTTGAGACAGTTCTCTCTGTGTAGCTCTAGGGGCCTGGAACTCACTCTGTAGACCAAACTGGCCACCAACATAGGGCTTTACAATGCACCTCAGGCAACTCAACTTTCAACAGTCCTTTCTTGGCCTCCTATGTACTAGGATCACAGGAATGAGCACCATGATCACTTAGTCCTCTTGGCAGCAGCCATTCTGAGTTGGATGAAAGGGAACAGCAAATGTATCTTCAACTGCATTTCCCTGGGGGGTAAAGATGCATTTTCACGTGTATACACTGGCAATTTGTACTTCTGAGCAATATCTGTTCATCTGTCCAGCAGTGAGTGATTGGATTACCTGTCTTTTTGTTGTCTTAATTATTTTTCATTCTTTATGCCAAAGGATTTTAGTGGGTAGTGAGTAACAGAATATGCTGTACTTTTAAGACATATTTAACCTCTGTCATCTCTGTCTGAATTGTATAATGGAAGGCAGTGTGTTATTTTACTCTAAAATGCAAACAAAGAATGAAGAAAGTGTAACTAGATGAGTGCTGTGGCCACAGTTCCCACATGACAGACTCTTCTCCCTCTGGAGCTGTAAGTCAAATAAACCTTCCTTCTGCAATATGCCCTGGTCATGGGGTTTTATCACGGCAATAAGATAGTAACACAAGTTCTTAACTAAAGATTTAGTTTCTTTCAAATTTCATCCTAGACTTGATAGTAAAAGACAAATGCATTGTATTTCCATTTCCTTGTGATGTGGCAGGTATGCTGGCCCCTTACACTTTACCCACTGAGATGCAGCTTAAAAAGTGGAATTCTCTTCCTGTTACTACTACTATGTTTATACTGGGAATCTTAGATGTTTGTGTTCCTATGTTTAACATGTACAGAAGTTTTGCCTGCATGTATGTCTGTGTACCACTTTGCATGTCTGGTACCCAGAAGAGGGCATCAAGACCCATGAAACTAGAGTTAAAGGCAGCTGTGCATCAGATCCTCTGGAAACAGATTTACAGACAGCTGTGACCCGTCACGTGAGTGCTGAGAATAGAATTTAGAAGACCAAGCAGTGATCTTAACTTCTAGGCCATCTAACCAGTCCTCACCCTTTGTTTTTTAGAGAAAGTAAAAAGCAGGTGGGTATGTATGGGAAGTCGGGGGAAGACAGAAGGAAGACAAGAAAATAGTATGAGGAGGTAGCAGCACAAGGAGAGGGGGTGCAGAGTTGGGAAGGAAAAGGAAAAGCCAGGAACGGTAAGAGGATGAAACAATGGAGAAAGTATTTGGCTTCAAAGAAAAAGATTGATAGTCCTTGTGAAATTCCATATCAACCACAGTCCAAGATATGCCCACGCAAGCTCAGGAGAGGTGGCCACACAAAACAGACTCTGGTTTTTGTTTGTTTGTTTCTGAGAGATTTTTGTTTTGTTATTTTTTGTTTGTTTTGGTTTGATAAATATACTCACCTTTTTTCTTTTTCATTGGTTCGTGGCTATCTGGTGAAGTGGGAATAGGTGAGGCATCCATTGGTTCAGACTCTTCCGTCGACACCTCCACTACAGTCTCTGTAATGACATCCGGCCTCATTGCAGCATGGATGAACTCTGGAGTTGATATACAAGGAGGGACAAACACTTCCACTATAAAAAAAAGTTGAAAAATTAAAATTTCCCACCCCTATTATAGTTTCCTATGTGGAAAGTTCAATATTTAGAAGAGGCAAGGTTTACAGAAGAATTACTCAAAGTAAGAGTAAGAACTTGTGCCTGAAGAAATCAAGTAACTGAATATCCAAAACAATCTAAAATACACAAGTAAAGGACAATCACCTTGACAGTTGTGAGGCCAACTTCTTTTTCATACTTTTAGGTACTTTTAAAGAAGATTTATTTTTATTTTATGTGTATGGACGTTTTGCTGGCATGTTTGTGCACTTGTGTGCCTAATGCTTCCAGAAGCCAGAAGAGGGCATCAGATCCTCTAGAATTGGGAGTTACCATGTGGGTGTGGAAACCAAACCCAGGTCCTCTGCAAGAGTACACAGTGCTCTTAACCTGAGCCATCTCTCTAACTCCCTTTAAACTTATAGGTTAATTATAGCAACATTTACATTAATTTGACAAAGAAAATTAAAAAATAATGGTCCTTAAATAATTACTTCCATTGTACATATCTGCCATTATTTATTAACTGGGAAATACAAGGACATGATACAAAATGTAAAAATGCACAAATGTATATTCAGTACAAAGTATATATTTTTTCATTTTAAAATATGAAAAAGAGACTAACAACTGTTCATTTCAGGACAGTCACTAAATATTATTGTAAATCACTAAAATATTACATACAGATTGCGATCTGGTATTCTACTACATAATGTGTTGTTTCAACTCCCATCATATACACATGAATAACCAGGATACCACACTTCTATTTCAAATTAGTAGATCCAGATACTATCTCCTAACATGGACCAATATGCTACCCAGCAAAGCCACCGTTTACTTCTCATGACCTTGAAGAATGCATTGGATTCCTAAGCTAACTAAAAATATGATTGTAGGAAAAATGAAAAATGGCTAAGTGTTTTTAAGAACACTGACTGCCCTTTCAGGACTGAAATACAATTCCCGAGATCTACATGACAGCTCACAACCATCTTTAACTCTAGTCCCAGAGGATCTGACCCTCTCTTCTGGCACCCATGGGCATCAGACACGCACACGTGCAGACATGCATGCAGGCAAACACCCACTGACATAAAATAACCTTTTAAAACTGGCTGCTGTTAGCAACTAACTATAATTCCTGCACAATAAATTAAAATTAGGACAAAATCAAACTAGTACAACACCACTATTAAAGTCAATCTACAAGGAAAATAGGAACCTTATTTCACAAGCTGAAAGGTATATAAGATAAATTCCTTTCCCGCTCTACCATGGCCAGTTCCATGTAGTTACTGCCTGCTGATCAATGAGTAACGGATTCAAAGGCTATAGGAAGCAAATGGTCCAACTGGTCCTACTCTTAAGGACTACAGCCTCCTATAATTTACCAGAATCAAGAAAATAAACATTATACATATACAACTATTTATGGGTACTTTCTGCATTTTTTTTTTTTTTTTTGGTTTTTCGAGACAGGGTTTCTCTGTGGTTTTGGAGCCTGTCCTGGAACTAGCTCTTGTAGACCAGGCTAGTCTCGAACTCACAGAGATCCGCCTGCCTCTGCCTTTATTAGGACATTATTAAGTACGCACTTAAGATTTGAGAGCCTTTAATATCAGTTATTGATATCAGGTATTTATGCATATAGATCTTGAAGAACTCCAGCAACAACTGCTGTATATTAAAGTCTTCATTCTAATAGGAAATGATGAGACAGACAGCTCACATACCAGGACTTCTCGAATCCCTCAAGCAGGTAGGAGATTCCATATGAAGCAAGGCTTCAGCAGCTTCAATTGTCTTATCTGTACAGTGCGCATTACTGCTATGGACTGATGCTTCCACTGTGGGGGAAGAAAGGAACAATTCTACATAAGCCAGTGAGTGAATACTCATTAACTACTTACTAAAATAATAAAAAATCATAAAGTTTATGTCGATGATCTTTAAAGTGAATGTTGATTTTAAAAGCAACCAATGATCCAGGTCTAGTGTCGCATTCTTATAATCCCAGTACTTGGAAGGTTCAGGCAGGGAAAGGAGTTTGAGCTACCCTGGGCTATATATAGGCAGAGCCTATCTCAAAACTAAAAACCCAATGAAGCTAATTAAAAATTAGTGAGAAGTTCCTGGATCTTAACCAAAAAACAACAGAGAAAGAACCTTGAAATATGAAAATTGCATCCATTTTCAATCAAAATTAAATGTGATAATCGTCCAGGGCGGTCGGGAACAGAGAGAACAACTCTGTAGGCCAATTATGTAATCGGATGTGTTGTCTCTACACTGGAGTGATATGGTCAACAGAAATCAGGTAGCCTAATGAATTGCTTCAATTTTTATACAGTTTCCTGTGAGTGGACAATCTCCAGGCAAGGTATTCATCTTCCTGTCACAACACTTGATAACTTTTCACAATAACGTTGTTCTCAAAATTTCAGTGGGCTCCACGAGGTTTTCCCTAAGAAAACATACGTAGCTGTAGGATGAAGAGATGGATGCTCTCTCTTACATGTCTTCCATGCGTTGCTATCAAATCACTTGTGAAACAGTGAACTACTCAGAGGTTTGCACCTTCAGGTCAGGTCTAACAGGCTGGGTTCTCAGTCTCTGCCACTCAGGACCTTCCTCTCTAATGCCTCAGTTTTCACTTTTATAGAGCAGGACGACTTCCACAAATAGCTGTGGAGACCACATACAGTGCCTGGCATGAAATAAGAATTCAGTATGATGACTTCTCATTCCTGTAAAATTGGAAGCTTAGCATTCACAACTAGTTTTGTTTAGTTTTGAGAGGTTGAGGATTAAACCCCAGCACCTCCCACACTGCAAGGCAAGTGCTCCACCTCTAAGCAGTGTATATAACCCTAGATTTTCCATATAACACATGGCATTTCTTTTATGTATCAAATGAAAAACAATCCCATGATTTTACAGAATTGTCAAGAACTCATCATTACCTTAGTTGGATTTTATTTCACAATCTGACCTATTTAAATTCTGAATAATTTATGTAATTAGAAGTCCTGAAACAAATAATAAATTTTAATTTGACTGTTTTTCCGAAGATATTCTCCTTAAGGAGCTTTTGTGACTATTCACAGTTTCATAAAGCCATGACAAATTCACAAGTACAGACATGAATCTTCTAAAGCCTGTCTCAAGAAACTTTTAATTGTAAAAAAGAAAATGTTAGTGCCTCCAAATTCACCAAATGCTAAAACCTCAGCATTTAACAACAAAGTCATTTGGCGAGCACTTGCGAAGCTCCCAGCCTGTTTCAGCACCTGTCACACACCGTCCACACTCCACTCTCCAGCTAGGTACTCGATCTCTCCAGCTGCTCTTTCCATTTATGGAGATCTGCTCAAAGCTAAATGAACCCGGAGAGGCAGCCACACCTCTAAGTAAATCTATCTTTAGGTGACCCTGCTTACTCTTATCTGCAGCTTCAGTGAGGCAAAGGATTCACTCCCTTCTAGTCCAACTTCAAAAACTTCGCATTAGGTTGAGAAGACACCACCCTTCTTGAGTGCGCTTTTCACAGGGCGCCTATAAGACTCACAGACACTAACAACCCTCAGAAGGAAAACTCTCAGGTTTTAAACATCAACCTGGGAGCCATTTCTTTAAAGCAGGATTGGTGTTGTAATTTAACTGTTGTCTTAGGTGCTATTAATAAACTATCCCGGGTAAGCTAATTCCTTATGTAATGTTATGAAGATATACTCTAAAAACTGTATGGTACTACAATTATAGCTTCAAGTATTTAATAATCATAGGGCAATAAAATTACAGATTTTAAAATATTTAAGGTATAAACAACAACTACAGAAATACTTGCCTAACAGCTACATACTGTATGCCCTAAATTCTTAAGTAGCTTGAGGTACATTTTGAAAACCCTTATTTCATATAAAGTTCATGTTACTACAAATTAATCTTTATTCTGTTCTGGTTTTGTTCTATGAGAGTATCATGTAGTTTAGGCTGGCCTGAACTCTAGATATGGCAGAAGTCTTGAAACTGCCCCCCATTCTCCTGCGTCTGATTCCTATAAGTGCTGAAATTTCAGGGGTTTACTACCACACCCAATTCAATTAGATTTTTTTAAAGCATATTTTCTTCTACTTCTGACCTCAAACATGTCTTCCAAAATTTAACAAATTATAACCCAAAAGTATTTACTAGCACTTTAAATATCCATAATTTGTAAGCTACCAACTAGAAGATCCAGGTTTTTTAGTCAGGCTGTATCAGCTGAACACGTCTCAGTACCAGTGCCGTGCAGCATGCAGATCCGAGTTACGTGTGTCAACAGAGCCTCCCTCTGCCTCTGCAGCTTCCCATTCAGAGCACCATCAAACCCAAATGCAAATGTAGAATAATCACATTACTCAGTAATCTAACGGCTTGCTAACGAGAGCAGTGCTTTCTATTTTAGGAGCTTACCAGGTTCATCTGAAGCTCATGCTAAACACCAATAAAAACCTAAAAGTCTAGTGTAGGATAAGAAGTTCCAGAATATTTTACCCATTTTATAACGTGAGGAGTGTCTATATTTTTGCTGACCTAAGTTAACAGGTGATTTTCGCAAACAATCTTTGATAGCGCGAGTTTAATACCTCTCCACTTCCGTAATGTTAAAATCTTCAGTGCTGTTTTATTCAGCTCAATAATTTAAAAAATTAAAAGTACTTATTTCTGTAGATATAAATATCAATCTAACAGTGCCTTGCAACCAAAGTAAGCAAACTAAAAGCAACATTTAATAAAATTCCTTCTTACTGAGCCGGGCGATGGTGGTGCATGCCTTTAATCCCAGCACTCGGGAGGCAGAGGCAGGCGGATCTCTGTGAGTTCGAAACCAGCCTGGTCTACAGAGCTAGTTCCAGGACAGGCTCCAAAGCCACAGAGAAACCCTGCCTCAAAAGAAAAAAAAAAAATTCCTTCTTACTACTTTCTGGACATGCATGAAATTAATAGTAGAAAATAAGCAACTCCGTTTAAAAACAGAAACAAACGAGAAAGTAATTTGCCAGGTCTCATTTTCTAGCAGTTGAACTCCTAACCAAGCCTACTTGACAGAATACATTTCAAAATGACTTCCTTCTGATGACAACGTCATCAATGAACGTGGTGTGTGTTGCCATTTACTGCGGGTAAACATGCCCGCTCCATCGCCATCTCTATCAGCTGGAGTTTGTATTACATTGCTCCAGACTCTCAACAGCTGTTACAAAATACCAAACTTGGTAATTAAGTCTGACAAGAGGCATACCTCCCAGCTTTGCATAAGAGAACGCTGGCAATGGATCTAGTTCATAACAGTGTTCCCAAGTCAGAAATAAACTTCACTAGCAATAGAGTTTGAAAGCAATGGAAAAATGAGAAATACTTCATTAGGTGTTAGCGGTTTTCTCCTAAACACAGCGCCAGAAACTATTATTTCCAAGGACATCACTCAAGTTCTGCACTGCCGGACCTCATTCTCAAAGAAGCCAGAGCTCCAACAGGGACAGAGCAGGCCACAAACCACTACAATGAAGGAGAGGGTCAGACTTTAACATTTGTCTCCTTGACCTTAAGCCAATATAGCTTTGTAAGTATAAAAAAAGACAGCCAAAGTTGGCCAATTAAATTCAAGTCATAATTAAAATTTTTTCAAATAGCCACATTTTAAAAAGTACAAAGGTGGTATTAATACCTTTGGGGGGAGGGGGGGGACGTTGACCATTGAGCTACATCCCCAACTGAGATTACTACCTTTTGTTTAACCTCCTAATACATCCAAAATATTTCCATGTCAGCATGTAATCAATATAAAGAACTTTTAAAATTCAATCTCCCAACCTATACCACAGGTGGCTAGTGGCTATTACACCAAATGAAAGCATAAACACATTCTTACACTTAACTTTCGTCATAAGACACTTCTGCATTCTAATTATTAAGAATCTCAAAAAGACTCTGAGAATAAGTCCCATCAGATAATTATTGTATTTGAAAAATAAAACTTAGCCAGGCATAGCAACTTCATGCTATGCCAACATTTAGGAGTTTTGGTCTAGCCAGCCCGGGCTAGCACAGTAAACAAACAAGCAAACAAACTTGTTTGTTTTTTGAGACAGGGTTTCTCTGTGTAGCCCTAGTTGTCCTGGAACTCACTCTGTAGTCCAGGCTGGCACAGGTTAGCCTCAAACTCAGAGATTTGCCTGCCTCTGCCTCCCAAGTGCTGGGATTAGCATGTGCTACCACCACCTAGCACAAACAAAATTAACCTCAAAAATATTTACTCATTTACTATTATACATGTTACTTAAATATGCATATATTATGAAAAATAACTAAAATAATTCAGTGGCTTTTCAAGTGTGTGTATATGTAATGGATGTGTGCGTGTATGTATGTATTAGACACGTTTAGTTCATGAGGGACTGAACCCAGGGCCTCGGATAAACTAGGCAAGCAGTCTACCACTAAGCCATATCCTCGGCCCTCATTTGTTTGTTTGTTTATTTCAGATGGGGGGGGTCATTTAGTTTGCACAGACTATCTTTGAATTTCTCCAAAGTCTATATAAGCCATGGCTAGCAATAACCCTGCCTCAGTCTCCAGAGTAGCTGGGATTACAGACCTGTGCCACTAAATCCAGCATGCTTTACATACTCTGGAAATCTTTTTAAAATTTTTATTTTGTTTCTATACACTTGAAAAACTGAAAGGCAAGTAATCTTTCAAAGGCAAGGAATCTTTCTATCTACAATCTTTCAAATCTATGAAAAATACTTTGACTTTCTAGACCACCAAAAGCCTCTCAGAATCTAGATCAGTCTGCTGTCTG